CAACTTCCCATCAGGTTCAAAAGCGTTACCTCCTCTTCCTGAACAGATGTTCCCACGGCTCGTGATCAGCCTCGAGCTTTGCGGCTTGTAAATAGACCTCCCGTGATTCTCGCATCCACTTAGCAGCACTCATCCAACTCTCATTCTCTTGCACATACCTCGGCAGCTCATGTGCTGGTACGTCGCCAAAGTCCATCTGTCTGTGGTGCGACCATGGTTCTGTAGGCTTGCTACGCACCAGCAGGATCCGGTCCCGGCCTTCTGCAAGCGCTCCCATCGGCGCGTCCTCCGCCTCACGCCGCTCGGTGGCAATTCTCTGCATTCTCATTCGATGGGCTGCCTTGCCGAAGTTCGCTTTCCGTCCGCCGCGAGCTTTGATTTCTTCCATTTTCTGTTCGAACCACTTGTCGGAGCGATTGTGGGACCAATGGATACGCGGGTCCATTCTCATGTAAGAAGGTCTGTAGGTTTTCGCCGCGGCTCCCGCGGCGCCAACAGAGGCTGGACCGGTGTCAGAAAAGATGCCGTGGGGTGGCGGGAGGGCGTCAGGTTGGCCGTAGATCATAGCATCGAATCTGCGCTCGTCAAATGCACGACATAGCTCAATCCGGCGATCTTCGCAGGTCGGCTTCTCGAAGGTGGTGAGTCTCCTCAGACATGCGCATTTGGAAGTGGCGATAACATCTTGGCTGTGAGGACTGTGGAATCGCGGTGCCTCTGAACCCGTGCGACAACTGTTTCCGATGCATGGGGGATTATTAGCTGCGTCGGCAAGACTGGGCTTATTCGGTGAAGAGCCCTTTCCCATTTTGCTCACGGATGATTGTTGGATTATCAGTCCGCCTAACCAACCAAGATCAAATGTTGAGGCGTAGCACAATTTCGACCTGCTGAGCTCCCTTTAGGCCCGTCATTTACAACGGGAGTTCACGTCGTGGCGGGCGCAGATTTGACAATCGCCGAGGGCAGCAACTCTGAGAAAAGAGGACCATGTACCAAAAGTAAGCCAGATTGGATCGCTTTACTTTTTTCTCCAAGGACCTATGTGTGGGTAGAAACTGTCTCTAGCCGACGTGTAATTATGTAATCGGAGTTACAAGTGGGACAGCCGGATGGCAAACCTCGCCGTGCCCCGCCAAATCCTCTAGAGTCAGTCCCGGTTTTCCTGCTTCAAACGGACTATCGAACAAGATTCCTGAGTCTTACGATATGGGCCATCGAAGTCCATAGTGTACCTCAATACGTATTCTAAGAATTTTCAAACCTCAGTACAAACCATGTCCTCCGCCCCCAGCTCCGGGACTCTGTCGAGAAGCATCAGCGCTTCTTCGCGAACACTCTCCGGTTCGACAAAGGGGAGAAGGAAAACATGAACCCCGGCTCCCATTGTCCACCCCGTGGGAATAGGTAAACCCATCTTACCAGATGTCCGACTGCCGGTCGACCGCCTTCACACAAAGGCAGGGACAAAGAAAAGAAGATGAACAAAAGGAACCCTCCATTCGTGTTTCCAACACCGGCCTTCTGCCTTAAATACTCTCCAAGTCCCTCGCTGCCTGCCCGATCATGGTGGGTACCCCCACCCGTTGTTCCCCTGCCCGCCCGCTTCTAGCCCAATCAGGTTAGATCGGATAACTCACTCCAGTCGCTCCTCTCCTTCTCGTGATCACTAACGGAAAAGTGCACAGACTTTTCTTAACCAATGGAAGTTTGGGCCATCGACCCAAAACTGTCCTTAACAACAGGACGAGTAAAATTGCTGCGCAATTGTTACGTGGGCCATTGGGCCATCGTCTATCAACAACAAATTATAGACCGGGCTCCGCCCGGGTTGATCGACGACAGGCGGCCTTCGGCGACGAGGAGCAAAGCAGAGCGTAGGTGCGCAGCACCACAGCGAAGCGCACAGCGAAGGTGATGCAATCACCAAAGCGAAAGAGAAGCGAAGCAGAACGCAGGTGGTTTACCACCGCAGTGTAGCGCAAGCGGAGCGCAAAGGTCTATCAGACCGCATCATCACGAAGGTGCGAAGCACCGGAGGGATAGAGCCAACGAAGTGGAACGGGAGTGTAGGCGAAGCGTAAGCTGAGACGCAACGAGAGTGCAGCGTAGTGGAGCGATTAAAAGAAAGTGTTAAAGAACACTTGATTGACAATAAGTTTACAGTATCACATTGAACACCTCCGCTTCGCTCCGGAGTCATGGGCTTCGCCCATACCCAACTTTTCAGATCTTGGAAGATTAGGATCAGTCAATTGACACTAAGTAAACAACAGTAGAAGCATTCAATAACAGTCTAACTATCTTTAAGAAGTTTAAGTATGGTTTGTGCTTCAGCATACAAAAGATCAAAGAGAAATAAGCATATTCATTCAGTTAAAATAGATCAGTCTATCAAAGTAAGGCTAGTTTCGCACACGCCGCTCCGCTCGTCCTCCCCCTCTCGGGCCACACTGTCCCAGTTTCTATACACTACTCTTCCCGTCTCTCCCAAGACTTGCACATCCCCTTCGCCACCCTCCGGTGCTTCTCCAGGCCTTCCGGCCGACGGTACACCCGCTTGCACTGCAAACACTGGTGCCTCTTGCTCCCGCCTCCGTGCTCCTGGAGCTGGTGTGTCTTCAACCCACCGGGTGTAGCATACCGCTTACCACAACCTGGGTAAGGACAGCTAGGCGAACGCACTACCCTGGGCGCGGCCTCCGACCTCATGCCCCTGGCATACTTACTCCGTGCCTCCTCCGGTAGACAAAGCCTGCCTCGGGTGTGCTCCGCCCACTCCCTCTCGTCCGAGAACACTTGGTTGCAGCCGACGACGGTGCAAGAAAGGAAGACCGTTGGGCTCACCTTAGGCCTTGCTGAAAGAGACTGCTCTTCAGCAGAAATAAAAGACCTCGCTAAAGCGCTCCCCGACCGCGACAACAGCAACAACCCTCTCGGGCTTGTTCTCTGCCACTCCACCGTGGCTTTGGACACAGCATCACTGCTGGGTTCCGAGAGTCCCTCACTCTCGTGTTCCTCCAACTGTCCCGTCCGACAGTCGCTCCGTCCCGTCGCCTCTGGTCCCGCTTCCAGCCGGGTGTGGGTTGCGCCCTGCGCCGTCTCCTCCTCCTCCTCGTCGTTCAAAACGTTCACACCTAACAAAAAGAAGCGCATCTTCTCTGCTGCGTGTTCTTCCAAGAACAAAAGAACAAAAACAATAACCAGTCTCCCGCTGGTTGAAGTGTCCCACTGGATATCACTCGATCCTCGAGCCGAGACGCTTGTCTCCAGGCCGGCTCTCACAAGCCTGTGTGGGTCCCTGCCCGAAAGAGTTTGTCTTCGTCCCCACGAAGAACAACAAAAAGAAAGAAAAGACAAGCAAAGGTTGCCCATCATTTGCAGCGCCCGCGTGGGAACGTCTTCCCTTTAAATAAACCACGTTTGTCTCGCTCTGGCTCACTCAATCTCCGTCACCGTCATTCATTGGTCCCCCGGATCCCACTCCAAAGTATCCACTCTTTGGATGGACAGCTAACCCCAATGGGTTAGTCTGGCAGCTATCAGTCCTCCGTCCTTATCGCCATTATCGATAAAGAAATGCTGACTCATTTTCTTTTAAGCGTGGGTCATTGCTGGGCCGTCCGGCCTGGCAAGTGCCTTAACAAGAAGACACCAAAGTTAGCTGCGCCTTTGGTAGATGGGCCGTTGGGCCATTGTCTATCAACAACAAACCATGAGGCCCGCTGGCGCGCAGGGTTGACAGGCGAAGGACAGCCCTTGGCGACGAGGAGAAAAGGCCTGTCAGGCCGCACAGTAGCCAAGCGGAAGCAGAACGCAGGTGTGCAACACCGCAGAGAAGCGCGAGCGAAGCGCCAAGCGCAGCGAAGGTGATTCATCACCGCAGTGCAGCGGGTTAGTGAGGGGGTTCGGGTTATGGCGAAACGCGGAGTAAAGGCGTGCAACGCCGTAACGGAAGTGAAGTCATCACGGAGGTGGCCACGCCACCAGAGTGCAAAGAGGAGCGAAGGTGTGAAACATCGCAGTGGAACGAGAACGCAGTCGATGCGTCAGCAGAGATGCAGTGGAAGTGTAACGCAGTGTAGCAACTTAAAAGAGAGGTTATCACGACAAGCATTGCCAATTAACATCACGATAGAACAAGACTTTGATCAAGTTCTTCTCAAACAGCATTAACACCTCCGCCTTCGGCTCTGGTGTCACGGGGTTTCAGCCCGTACCCCTAAATTCCACACCTTGGAAGATTGGGATCAGTCCATTGTCACTCTCGTGAGTATCAGCCTAACTACTCGTTTAAGCCTAAGCTTCTCGAGGTTGAGGCTATTCCCGGCTCACTTCGTTCCGCCCCGTTCAACTCTCCCGAGTTCACCCTTAATTGTCAGTCAATTAAGAGAATTTCAGCAACACACAGTCAGTTCATTCCATTCAACATCTCCCTCCCGTCGCTCAGCTACAATCAGTCATCTCGCCTTCCCGGCTCGACAGCGGGGATTCCTTCTCCGAGTCCGGCACCACAAACGGGTCCTCTCTCATGCCCCCGGGCAGAGTGCTACGCCCAATGCTTCCAGCAACCCCCTCCGGTTGGCGCGGGAGTATGCCGCTCAGGGCGGTCAACACCAGTGTCATCAGCGAATACGAACTCCGTCTCGGTTGCTCCCCGGTAACAATAGACCCTCCGTGGACCAAGCACAGGGATAGTTCCTCGTCCAGGAAACTCAACAAGCTGTCCACCAGCTCAATGTCGCCAGCTGTCCAGGACCACCACGTCCTGCTCCTCCAGTACCACGCACACCGACTCTGCAGTGTGGCAAGCTCATCGCGACCCAATCGCTGTAGCCTCACGAGCGCATCCGCGCCTGCAAGCAGGCCGTACCGCAGAACCCTCTGCTGATTGTGCCACGAGCCAAGCTCCCGCTTGAAGTAGTCCTCCGTCTCCATCGGTTGGAGTTGATGATCGTCCGCCCGCGTCCGACTGTTCCACCACAGGTAATGCTGCCGGCATTGCTGATTGACAACCCAAGTCAATCCAGTTCGTCGTGTTTGGCCCGCCAAAACAAAAAGAACAAAGAGACAAAAGAATGCTATCTTTTGCACTCCTGTGAGTGGGTGCACAGCTCCCTTTAAATACTCGACTCCATCTGACTCACTCTCAGTTCAGACATGGTGGGTCGGATCCCACTTGCTCCACTCCCCAGCGTGTCCGCACGTGCCTAACCACTTCGAGTTAGTCTCACTCGTTCCCTGTCGTCCCTCCTTCCCACTTTTAACAGCAAAGAGTTTCCACTCTTCGGAAGACGTGGTGCTAATCCCGGTTGAGGTCATGGTATGGCCGCGATGGACCCGAATCAAACCTCACGAAGAGTCAGAATATGTGAACGTCGAGGAAGAAACAAGATTCTTGCAATATCTCTACTCCAAGCATGACGTGGGTTCCCTCTCAAACAAGCCTTGTTCGGCAGAATAGTATTGCCGATTGGAACCAAAATTGCCCACGCATTTCACTGCATTCTCGTCAGATTCCATCGCAAGTCGCTACTCACAGCTTAGCTGCTAAGTGTGACAATTCTGCTCATCCGGCCCGTTCAGTGTCCGTTCGCATTGGCCACCGATTGCGTACCGATCAATTCCCGAAAAATTCGGCGGCCCTCTTCCAGCTTCTGCACACGATTCGACAAAAAGATTCGCTGACGCCTACTTTCCGGCCGCTCCGAAGCAATAGCTTCAACCTTGTCGTCTGCCATGCTGATAATGACTAGCGGTGAGAACAACCTGTCGAGCCCCCGAATCATATGCCGCTCGATCACTTGCGTCGTCACATTGGCGACAAAGGTCTTGTATTGCACCTTGTAGATGGCCCGCAAACAGTCTAGGGCCTCGTCACTGCTGAACTTATTCATGTCGATGGAGTTAACATTGCTGCTCAAACAGGCCGATATGACGCTGTTCATCTCCATGCCTGGATCGAACTTGTCGTAGTGGTGTCCACGACTGCAGTTCACGGGTGGCGCTTGTGTGAAGGTGCCTGGGAGTAAAGATTCCAAGTGTATCTTCAGCCGCTCTCGGCGCCGCTGCTCGATGGTGTCTGTGTAGTAGTGGTTGTAGTTGATGGGAAATTCTTTGATGTCATTCATGAGCTTGCCTAGTTCGTCATACGCTGCCTGCTTCCGCTCGTTCAGCGTGTCCTGGACCATGAATGTCCTGAACGATTGGCATTAGCACTATGCTAGGTTGTGCTGGACTTCTCAGCGTGGCATGCAAAGTAACTCACCAAATGCGACCCTTCATCTCCTTAGGAACTTTCTGTTCCAGGAGATTGGCGAGGAAATCCTTACACAGCTGGCCTACTTGCTCGATGTGATTTCTAGCCAGATTTTCCCACGGCTGGCACTGCTCCCAAAACAGCTCACCGATCAGACGCGGGTTGAAGTTCCCAATCAGCTCGGTACCCCTCGAACGGAGAAGCATCTTATGAACCCATGCGCCGGACTTTTTTCTGGAGAGCGGCTTCGGCGACGGCTCGATAGACGTTTGATTCTGGTCGAGGTCCTCTGATGCAACCAGCCCTTTCGCTGCCGTGGACAGAAAATGGTACTTATGGCCCTTTTGCCGTAGGGTTTCGGCAAACACCTCATTACTGTACTGCACAGCAGCTCTGAGTCGAGCGATAGTGCTCTTGTTCTGCAGGGAGAACGACTCCTCGGCGCCCATCTTGAAATAACTATGCTCGTAATTACCGTTGAGACTCGCTTTGCAAATTTCCTGACATTCCATGGTGAGTTTGGTCAGATAAACACGGCAAGCTGTGGGATCCGACCGGACATCGCCCAACAAACTCAAGTCGTGCCTGTCTACCTGGAGAACCCGCTCGAGATCCCCGCTGAGCTGCGGAAGTTCGGTTTTGACGTGCTCGAACAAAAGTTGGCTCAATCTTCTCCGCAGAGTCTCGATGCCGACAATGTCTCGTGGCAGATTGCGGAAATTTGACGTGCGGAAGAACTGCGCCTCAGTTGCGTTGCGTTCCCAGAATGAAAATTCGTTCTCGGAGAAACGGCGGTTCCTAATCACATGCCACCCAAGCTTAAAAAACACATTCTCGTTGCGAGCGAGCTCGAGGAACTGGGATTCGGAGCCAGACCCCTCCGGAAGTTGGTCGGGCTTTGTGATGATACCGAGGGTACGCTCGCCTCGCGGGTCGAATCTGCGGACACGTTGAAGGATCGGCTGGTTGGCCGCGTCGTTGGTTGCCGACACGACGGCCAGGCAGATGGTACGAGGCCGCTTAATGTAGCGGTCCGTGATGTCGGCAACCAAAGCCACGTCATTCTCGGAGACGCCTTTCGTGGCGGACTGAATCAGGCCCGGTATATCGATCAGGGTAAGCTGCGGGCGGTCAGGTCCGTTGATCTCGATGCTGAGCGTGTCCTTGGAGAAGGCGCTATCAGGTGCCTGGCCCAGCTGTGAGCTAGTACAGCCCCCATTGCCAATGCCCATGACTTTCTTCGCAGCGCCTATAACGAAGGGCAATTCCTTGAAATCGGTGATGGATTCCGAGAACTCTCTGATTCGTTTTTGATCTTCCTGGCCCCGTTCATTGCCCGGGATCACCCTGACGGTGAGACTCTCGGAAAGCTCTCGTCGGAGGCTGATTTCCGTGGCAAATTGCGTGCAGAGATTGTCGTTTCTCGGGAAAGGTATCTCCGTTAAAGCTTCCAACACGGAACTTTTGCCGGCCGACTGATCCCCGCAGACGACGATATCGGGCAGGGAGAGAATTCCGTCGAGACCACACTTTCGTAGCTGCGTGATGGTGTCAAGTACTCTTCGCTGATCTTCGGTCTGTAATCCCTCGAGGGTTGTGCTGAGTGTTCCAAAAGTTCTTCCATTGTCGCAAAGAGAAGGGTCGGGCAATGGCATCTCTTCGCTCACTTCCTCCATATTATTCAAGCAATACGTGGTATGTTGCAATGTGCAAGCGACGGAGGCATGGCCGATAGGTAAAATGTCTAAAGGGTATGGCGGAACAGTCTTGTCAGTGAGGAACACCTTCGCGGTTAGATGATTAGACCTGCAGAATGCCTCCTGGCTTCCTTTAAACCAATACGACCCCTCCACATGCACTTCTTCGTTTGCCCGTGCACCAACTCAAAGCGTGCACCATCACCTAGACTGCCTGAGCCGAGGAATAATTGAGATGGCACGGCAGCTGACGCTCTAGGCCTCAACCTACTACCCCAGCCCACCCGCGGTTGTCTCGTTTTCTCAATGCCAGGTTCATCACAATTTTGAAAGTGACCAACCGCCGTCCATAAAAAGACACAGGTCATGGCGGCTCCTCAACAAAAACGCATCTAAACGGCTTTCCCCAACCAGTCACCCTCTAGATGCTGTGTTCCCCACTTCAATTGAACGTTTGACGTCAGACCCCGAGCTTTGCACGGGGATTCGTCGTCGAGAAGCACGCGCCGTTGACACATCAAGCTTATCGCTATCTGACCAGCAGCGCTCTTGGCGCATCAACACTAGAGGCCATGAATGAAACTGCTGCGAGGCTCCGATGTCCCCTCCAATCTGTCGCTGGGCAGGACTGGACCTGATGTGAGGTTTCAGTCTAGTACAATGTTCACCCTGCCCTTGACGTGGCATCCATCACAGCATCGCGAGGTAAATCCTGGCGTGGTACACTGCAATGCTACCGTCCTGTCGAGTTTCTATGGGCCCTGGCGGCGGAGTCAACCGGTTTAGAGCAAGCCCTGGCCTGCGTGTTGGTATGAGGGGTTCGGAGTCGCGGTATGCAGCGAGCCGGGCTATCTGCTGCGCTTGTGCCGGAGGCCGTTGCAACCCACTCATGCTGGCGATCGAAAGATAAGCGAAAGCAGTGCCGCATTCATGTTCATAACCGATAACGTACGCTGACTTGACTAATCCACGGCCCAACGGTGCCACATTTCGTGTGATCGAGTGTCGTAGAAAAGGCCAAGCGCTAGCGCCTTGGCCTTGGCGATGACCACTTCCCCGCCGTTCCA